ACCACCAGTTGAAACACATGCTGCTATCTGTGGGCAGCTGTGATCCCTCTCCTAATCACTTGGTGGCACCTGAAACTCTCCTGGGTGGCTGCCCAAGGGCACAGCTTTCAGGGAACACTGTTCAGTGCTACCACAGTAGAAACAGTAAAACACAGTAATACGGAGTGTTTCAATGAAAGGTCCCATCCACTGTTAATTATCTGGCTCTCTATTGTTAGTGTCTCTGAGTTTCACTCCCCCATCAGTGTACGGCTCAAGCCTAAGGAGTCAAAGGATTATGGGCCAGAGAATGGAGACTGGGACTGATCTGTGTGGAGGTGCTGGTGTATTTCCTGCCACTGGAAGGACACCCCCCTCCTTTCATGGCTCATGTATACACAGGGGCTACGTCTAGACTGGCATGATTTTCTGGAAATGCTTTTAACGGAAAAGTTTTCCGTTAAAAGCATTTTTGGAAAAGAGCGTCTAGGTTAGCAGGATGCTTTTCCGGAAAAGCACTTTTTGCGGAAAAGCATCTGTGCCAATCTAGACGCGGTTTTGCACAAAAAAGCCCCGATCGTCATTTTCGGGATTGGGGCTTTTTTGTGCAAAACAAATCTGGGCTGTCTACACTGGCCCTTTTGTGCAAAAGTTTTGCACAAAAGGGACTTTTGCCGGAATGGGAGCAGCATAGTATTTCCACAAAAAGCACTGATTTCTTACAGTAGGGAGTCAGTGCTTTTCCAGAAATTCAAGCGGCCAGTGTAGACAGTTGGCAAGTTTTTCCGCAAAAGCAGCTGATTTTCTGGAAAAACTGGCCAGTCTAGACATAGCGAGGTTGTTGAGCAACACACACTCTGGGGAATGTGGGGGGCTTTCCTCAGGGGGAGCAGGGCTGCCCCTACAAAGAGTCTGAGGGCAGGACACAGCGTTTGGGCGTTTCCCCCAATTTTATTGAGAAGAAACGTTGTTCCTTGCACCAATGTGGGTGCTGTGAATTGTCCAGTTGGAGTCCCAGACAAGGGCCTTGCTGCATTGCCAGACGGTTGCCTCTGAATAGGGGACGTTCTGTGATGCGGCTGCGCACTGACGACAGGAACATTAATGACCATTGCCCTGCTCCAGAGCGATGTTCATGTATATCGGATTCTCCTCTGTCTGGAGCGGGTGCTTTAAGGTAAAACACGGAAATGTTACTGCTCTGCTCAGCCAGCCAAAAGCCAGAGAAACGAAGCTAGAAAATGCCCCTCAGAGAGTATCACTGTACGTACCACAGGAGCAGTTCTAATGGGCATCTCGTCTGGGAAACACCAGCGACCCCACTTCCGAGATCAGCCCCTCTGGGGTGGGCAGCTCTGATTCACCCTCCCTAGCCTTGGTCTGGCTTTTTCCTGCTCCCTAGTTAGAAGAGCCAGGCTTTGCTCCGCTGCCTGCCGCCTTCCCCCTCCCTCCATGCCAGCCGCCCCATGGACATTGTCTGAAATAAGGATTCCTCCGTGCTGCAGGCAGTGTTGTTTTTTCCTGCCCAGTGTCATGTTTTAATCACTGATGCTGTTAATGGGGATATTTATAGTGGGTCTAGGTAATTGTTGTCATAATATTGTTATACTGGTGACTGGGTGGCTCCCAACAAGCCTGACTCTGATCTCTGGGCAGTCGGGGCACATTGCCGAAGCTGGTGGCTGTGAGAAGCACCTGCCATTCAGGCTAAAGAAGGGAACCACTAATTCCCCCTTTGTTTCATGTCTGCTGAAGCACTGGGCAGCCACCACCTAATAACTGGCCACAGGAAGCCTGGACATGGCAGGGGCAGGTACCTTAGGGTCTGCTAACAAACGCAGGACACTGCATTTCACTGCAGCTCTGTTTAAAAGGCTGCGTCTACATTGGCAAAATCTTGCTGCCTGTCTACACTGGCTGTGAGAATTTGCGCAAGAATACTGCCATTGTAATGTACAAAATCAGTGGTTCTTGCGCAAATTCTCTGACACTCCCACTCAGGGATAAGCCCTCTTGTGCAAATATTCTTGCACAAGAATACAGCAATGTTAATTTCTTGTGCAAGAAAGCGTCTACACTGGCACGGATGCTTTTGCGCAAAGGCACATGCCAATATAGATGCTCTCTTGCGCAAATACTTTTAATGGAAAAACTTTTCCATTAAAAGTATTTGCGCTAAATCATGCCAGTGTAGATGCAGTCTTTGTGTGTGGGGCTATGTCTACACTAAGGGGTTTTTCTGGAATACCAGAGGTATCCCAGAAAAACTCTGCCACATCCAGGCAACGCATTTGCTCTTTTGTCTTTTGTTTTGTTTTTGTTTTGTGGAAGAGAAGATGAGCTCTTTCGGGAGCCCTGTCTTCCTCATTCTATGAGAAAGAAGGGCTCTTCCAAAAGAGGGTGTTTTTCAGAAATTTGGCCCAGTGTAGACGGGCCGAATTTCAGAAAATCCTCTTCCGACAAAAATATTGGAAAAAGGTACGTGAATTGTGGAGCTCAATTTATGTACCTTTTTCTGATAAATCATTGTAACCTGAATGAGACCATCTCTCTGAGACCATTTATGTTCTCTGCCCCAGGATTGTCCCAGAGATGAGACGTAATGATGAAACTTTCCTTGTTTGCCGGACTGGTTCTGCAGGAGGTGAGGGAAGATGTGAAAACCAGGCGGATAATGATGAGGAGTCCTGTGGCACGTTATAAACTGAGAGAAGTGTTGGAGCACAAGCTTTCTTGGGCAAAGACTCACTTCGTCAGATGCAACAAAGTGGGTCTTTGCCCACGAAAGCTTATGCTCCTACACTTCAGTTAGTCTATAAGGTGCCACAGGACTCCTCGTCGCTTTTGCAGATTCAGACTAACACGGCCACCCTTTTGATACTTGACAGGCGGATAATGTGATGCTAACTGTAACCGAACTTCAAAGAGCCCCCTCCCCACTTCCCCCCTTCACAGCAGTGTACATCTCCTCCCTTTGGGACACTGCTTTCAATGCACAATCACATGGTTCATATGAAAAGTAACATCAAAAAAATTAAGCTTGCATAACTCAAGCTCTTCCCATGCTGCATAATAGGAGGAGAAATAAAAATCCAGGTTTATTGTTCATTGTCCATATCAGCTGGAGTAGGACAAATAATTATCATAAAGAAGCAAAGAGAGAAAGGAAGTTCAGTGTTAGCAGCTTTCTCTGGCATTAACATGGTATGTGGGGTGTGTGCACACGCAGAATAGACAGTTGCCTTGGGCACCAGTATTTCTGGGGCACCACTCTGCTGGGACGGACAGAAGCAGTGGAGCATGTGTAAGCAGGAACTAAACTACTGTTTACTATCAGCCAGCTAAAAGGAGAGCTGGCCTGGAGGGTGGGTATGCTCACTCCAAGGCTATGTCTACACTGGCGCGATCTCGCGCAAAGGCGGCCGCTCTTGCGCAAAAAACTTGCTGCCTATCTACACTGTCCGCGTGTTCTTGCGCAAGTAACCTGATGTTCTAATGTATGAAATCAGGGCTTCTTGCGCCAGAATTCTGACACTCCCGCTCAGGAAGAAGCCCTTTTCCGCAACTGTTATTGCGCAAGAGGGCAGTGTAGACAGGCAACATAAATTTCTTGCGCAAGAAGCCCCTTTGGTTAAAATGGCCATCAGAGTTGTCTCGCAGAAGAGAGCGTCTACACAGGCCTGCATGCTCTTGTGCAAAAGCACATCTCTTGCGCAAAAGCACATGCCAGTGTAGACACTCTCTTCTGGAAGAGTTTTTACAGAAGAACTCTTCCGCAAAAGAGTTTTTGCATAAGAACGCGCCAGTGTAGATGTAGACTAAACATTTCTTTTCTTCACTCAGGGTATGTCTACACTAGCCCTCTAGTTCGAACTAGGGAGGCTAATGTAGGCATTCGAAGTTGCAAATGGAGCCTGGGATTTAAATATCCCAGGCTTCATTTGCATCTTCCCGGGCGCCGCCATTTTTAAATCCCCTTAGTCTGAACTCTGTGCCCGCGGCTACACGCGGCAGGGAGTAGGTAGTTCGAATTAGGATCTCTAATCTCTCTAATCTCTCTAGCAAGAACTCCTGCACAAGAGGGCTTACACCTGTTTAAAAAAAGCATAGCTCTTGAGCAAGGAGGCCTCTCTTACCACGCCATCCTGTACACCTTCTTGTGCAAGAGCAAGTGGGTAGTGTGGACGCTTTCCAGAAGAACGGCCATTCTTCCGCAATAACCCACCAGTGTAGACATAGCCCTAGATATTGAACCCAGCTCTGGTTGCTGCCAGGCCTACCTGGTGGAAGGATTACACATGTAACAGCAGGGCTGGGTCCTAGAGAGGGCCAAATGCGCTGCCTGCAGCACAGTCTGAGGGAGGGGATTGGCTGCTGGAGTCTCTGGGAAGGGAAGGGGTCGGGGTAGGGGTGGAAGAGGAAGTCAGGAATAGGGACACCAATTTAATAATCCTGCCTAGGTCACCATAAATCCTAAGGACGGTCCTGACCATAGCCCACCTGTTGCTTACAGTGTGAGCCTGCACACACCCCACAGACATTGACATGCCCTGCAAACCCGCTAGAGGAAATCAATGGGAATCTCCCAGGATTTTACCCCTTGTCTGTCTTCTTTCCCCAGCTGCTGGGATTTCACTAAACGGATCCATCTTAAAATAACCGATTCCCATGTGGGAAACATTTTGGAGGTTTTCAAACCCATCTGTGAGATTTGACCATCCATTTCGCAGGCATTTTAATTGGAACACTGAAACCTCGAACTTCTCTGCCTTGGCTGCTTGTCTGGCTGCAAAGGCTGGCGGGGGAAGCCCCTCTGTAGCTAGCTAGATTTTCAAGCCATTGGGGATTCTCTCTTATCGCTCTGGTGTGGAGTTTGGGAAGGATGTTTCCTTCTTGTCTGGATGTTTCTCTGTGGCTACATCTACACTGGCATGTGCTTTTGCGCAAGAGCAGCTGCTTTTGCGCAAGAGCAGCTGCTTTTGCGCAAGAGCAGCTGCTTTTGCGCAAGAGCAGCTGCTTTTGCGCAAGAGCAGCTGCTTTTGCGCAAGAGCAGCTGCTTTTGCGCAAGAGCAGCTGCTTTTGCGCAAGAGCAGCTGCTTTTGCGCAAGAGCAGCTGCTTTTGCGCAAGAGCAGCTGCTTTTGCGCAAGAGCATCCATGTCAGTGTAAACGCTCTCTTGCACAAGAAAGCTCTGATGGCCATTTTAAACATGGGGCTTTCTTGCACAAGAAATTCATGTTGCCTGTCTACACTGGCCTCTTCTGGAAGAGCTTTTGCGCAAAAGAGCTTCTTCCTGAGCGGGAGCGTCAGAGTTCTTAAGCAAGAAGCCCTGATTGTATACATTAGAATATCAGTTTTCTTGCGCAAAAACACTCGGCCAGTGCAGACAGGCAGCAAGTTTTTGCGCAAGAGCAGCTGCTTTTGCGCAAGATCGCGCCAGTGTAGATACAGCCTGTGTGTCTGTGAGGGCAGGGCCTGACTGGCCAGGCTAACAGCAGGTGAAGGAGGCAGCTACCTGCTCCTGGGTGGAGATCTGGGGCAGTAGCAGGGAGTCACAGAAACAACCTGAACCTGGAAACCCCGAGTGAATCCATGTTCTAAGCCTGAGGGTCCCTGCCAAGCAGGAACAGGCAAACCAGTCGCTCTCTGCTCTCACCTCACTTTGTTCTTAGTAAAAGTGCGACTCACCCTGGTGCTTTCTGGCAAATCCACTGAGGAATCTGGGGAGAGAGAGACAGGTACACATCATCACTTAGGAGTAAGCGCCTTTAGGAGACGGTACCTCCTTGAGGACAAATTATAACAACAGATCTTCTATTTCTCCCACCTGGGTAGCACTGAGCACCATGGAGCCTGATCCTCATCAGGGTCACTAGATGGTACCTGAACAGAAGGATTTCAGGTGGCCACTGAAGATGTTCCATGAGACTGTCTCGCTGGGTTTCCGACAAAGTTATTTTGTCAAAAGCAGTCAGATTCTGGCAGAAAATTTCCATACTTTATTCAAAAATGGAGTAACTCAAAACTGCAATACTTTGGCCCAAACCAGACATATTCTGATTTGCATACCACTTGGTACTGCATGGGACATGTTCAGTGGCACCCTGCTGATATTCTCCTCTACAGGCTGAACAGTCTGGGCTTCATCTCCCATGATGCACTGCAACCAGGGACACCCATGATGTGCTACTTCCCATCACCAAGAGGGGAGAAAGTGATGCATCATGGGAGAGCCACAGACTAGGAGCATGAGGCACCAGAACTACAGCTCCCATGAGGCACTCTTGCTCCCAGCTCCCAGTGATGGGGGTGGGGCACTTTCCAGTGGGGGCTTTCCCTGGGATGAGCCTTTCCATGAAGGAAGAGAAGGGGCAACACTTGACTCAGTCCCCTAAGCCCTGGCAATGCAGGGCTGAGGATCACAGGCAAAGGGTGGGACAAAGGAACCGCAAGGACTCAGATGCTTGAGCCCTGGGACCCCAAGAACTCTTTTTCCTCATTCACTTTGATCACTGGCAGGTTGTTGTTATAACTCTCAGACAGACAGTCTGATCTGGGATCTGCCCATCCCCCACATTTACCCCAACCCCCGCATTTCTCCCCCATGTGCAGATGAGGTGACCCTGATAACTCTAACAGCTCTTACAAGGAAAACTATCTTCAGAAGCGTTGCTGGTGTCATGCTGGACTCGTTCCCTGTGCGGAGTAATAAGGACAGAGGGTGTCAGTGATGCTGCGTACTCTCTCTCTCTCATTCACACACACATACATAAGTGACACTTGCCAGAGGGATAGCCCTGTTAGTCTGTTTCAGCACAATAGCAAGGAGTCTTGTAGTAGTACCTTAGGCTATGTCTACACTATGGCGATATTTTGGGATCCATCTTTAAAGCATCCCGCACTATTTCAGTGTTCCTGTAACCCATGTTCCGCAAGGGTTAAAGGATGTTTTGGAATAGCACTTTATTTCAAAATTTGGTGCTGTGTAGCTTATTTTGAGGCAAGGGTACGGTGCAGACATACCCTTAATGACTAACAAAATTACCTGAGCATAAGCTATTATGGGTTGGTGTCCACTTTGTTGGCATGCCCGTGAAAGCTCATGGCTACAACAATTTGTTAGAGTTTATGGTGCCACAGGACTCCTTGTTGTTTTTATTGGTGACACTGAGCCTGTTTGCAGAGATCCAGCTGTGAGTAGGTTTCTTCCCATAGCTGGTTCTCCTGCTAGGATTGCAGCTCATACTCCGAGAGAGGTGGCAAGCCCTATTTCTGGATAGTCAGGGAACGTGGTGGCTGCACCATTCATAGAGGGAAAGTCTCGTAAGACGAGACTTGAACATCCTGTTCTACTTCAGCTAAATGGCCAACCAACCAACCAACCACACACATCGCACCAGGTCAGCAGTGAGTTGAGGATGGATGCAACTTAAAATCCCTGACATATCGGGGTGAAGATGAAGACACTGCCATTTTTCACAAGTGCATGACATTTTTCAACAGAGACTTTTTATTTCATGGAAAATAGTTTAACCAAAAACAAACCTTTGGACAGAAATTGTTTGATTTAATGAAATTTTCAATGGAAAAAATCTTGAAGAGGCCTTTGTGTTGTGTCATTTCTTAAAAAAAATGTGCACAAATTTTGGGTCATTTGACAGGGATCCAGCAGTAGTTATGGGGCTCTCTAAATCCCAAATGGGCATCTTTGCAGTTTGGCTCGCGTCAGTGGAGGGTGGGGAGGACTGCAGACATGTCATACAAAGGCCTGCACCAAAATTACAGTTGCTGTAAGGAAACCTGCTGTAGGTGTTTTGGGGCAGATCCGTGTGTGGACATGCTGAGCCTCACGCTGAACCAGATAATATTTGCAGCCAAATAGCCCCAACAGCCCCTGAGTGGAATCACTTTCATTTCTTCACACATTTGGAGCAGTTTTCAAACACACTGTGCTGTGTTTCACTGGTGCTGGTGAATTTGATGGGAACACGCCAGATAGTTTCATGAAAAATACCAAACATGGCAGGGGAAAAAAAAGGCAGGGGGGGGGGACACCAAAGTTGTTGAGAAAAAAATGCACAAAAATAGAGTCACTGCACCTTTAAATCCCCATGCTCCCCCCACCCCGGTATTACATGTCCGGTATTTTCTGGGTTTTCACCAGACAGAAGCCGCAAGTACCGGACTGTCTGGGTCAATACCAGACAGCTGGCAACCGCAGAACATGCTGCTTTGGCAAATCCCTTCTTTCAATGTCTCCTCGTAACTCCCAGATCCCACCCTGACCAGGGAGTTCACCCCGCCCCGGGCTTTTCCAAAACTCCTCCAGAACACTCCTCCCCACTTCAGGAGTGCTGACGCCTACTTTGATATTTGAATATCTGCTGGACCTGCAGAAAGAAGAGACTCGGAGTGGAAGCAAAAGGGGAGAGGGAATAGACTCCTCCTACCTGTGCTCCCTCCGCAGAGACACAGCTGGAAGCAGCGAGACAGAGTGATCAGAGACCGGGCCACGTTTCCTCGTGAGCAGAGAGAGAGAGACAGAGACTGAGTGATACAGCTCCAGGCCCTCATTCCACTGACACAGAGCCCCAGCCCCACGGCTGTGGCTTTGTTTAGATTACCGGCTTCTTGCACAAGAAGCTTTTTATGGAAGAGATCTTCCACAAAAACTCTGTTGTGTAGACCTAGCCTGTGAGGAAAGGCTGCAGGGCAGAGCTGTGCCCAGAGCTCTGTGTTCAGAGTTGTTAGGGCCTGATGCAGGAAAGATCCTACACACGGGCACAAGGGCCCTTCCTGGCCAGGGGATGCCTCCCTGACCTGCAGCCTCAGTGACCAGCATGTGGATATTCCATCCAGACACACGCCCCTGGCTTAGCCCTAGACTGGGACCATCTATGGGCCAGGGACTGCTTCCTACATTTCTGATCTGTCTGTGCAGTACTGGCTGCAGGGTGAGGTGAGGGGCAAGCGGCTGATCCCAGACTGGGGCTCCAGAGCACCACAGTAACATACCCAATAAATAATGTGCAGTGCCTTGCACAGTGGGACTCTGACCCCACTCTGGGGCTCCAGGGTGCTACTGCAACACACATAATTAATCACAAGGACAATCCACATCATCATCTCTTTGATTTCTCAGCCAGCTTCCCTGAAACAAATGATCGGTTTCACTGTGTCATTAGTCATCGTCCCTCGTCCCAGGCACACTGTGGACAGGAGTCTCAGGGGGTGTCTCTGCTCTGTCCGTCTGTACATTTGCTAACACGGCTCAGCCTCACTCTCACACCCACCTTTCCTTCCCAGCAGATAAAGCGCCACAGCCAGCACCAGCACGGCAGGGACTGTAATTCCCAACAGGAGCTTTAGATCCGGCCCTAGGAAAGAACCTCGCTGTGAATGGCCTCTCCAAGCAGCAACCAACCAGTCCCTACTGGCTGGGGCTTGCTGAGTCCTGTAGTAAGTGACCCCTCATGTTATCATGAACATACCTGGAAGTTCACCTCATGGTTATCTGCAGGGTGAGGTAACTGGCCATTCTTTGTGAGTAACATTAGCTGAACTTATTCTACCATTTTTTTGACCCAACATTTTCATCATTCTAAAGCAGATTTATTTTAAATACTTTTTCACCAACAGAGCTCACGTGCAAGGACCTTCTTCATCTTTCCAATTTGTTTTCAATAAAAGACAGTGTTTTGTTTAATCCTAAATTGAAACGGTTGTGTCATTTTGGTTTTCAAACTCCAGAAATGGAAGGAGAATGCCCTGTTGAAAAC